ATATATACACATAGACGGTTTCAAATCGTAAATTACAAGATCGAATTTGATAATTAACATTTGCAATTTCGTGATTCACAAATTGAAATGACGTTTTGTTATTTCGTAATTAAAAAATTCGAATCTCATAAATTCCATTTTGCAAGCCCATAGTTTACCTTTAAAGTCTTGTAATTTATTTCGTGAAGTAAATTATCAAATGATGTAAATAGTTTAAATCATCTTGATTGGCAGTAATCTAAAGGTCAACGCGGCATAAACTCGGAATAAACCGCCGGCCCTTAATCAGAATTCTGAACTTTTGAAGGGAAATACATTCTAGTGTGTCATCAGCCAGCCGCAAGCGGTTTTTATTATAGCAATGATTACAATGCATCATTCATCCTGATTCATACTTGTCGAGTGAACCGTGACTTAGCAACATGTAACATTGCTCGAAGAATATTGTTTCCTCGTTTCCGCTTATTGCGTAATGATGAAATTGGGGCTGAAGTTACTTTCGTGAGGGTAAAGATGCTCATGAAGAATCTGAGAGATTGAATTGGGAATTGTTGGAGACAGTTTTCCTCATGTTGTGCAATTCTTGTGAATTATTCACTAATTTGGGATGTTACGGTGGATTTATTCGTTATTTCGTGAGGATGCGGCACGTGAAGTTACATCACAGAAAATTCTCGGCCTTCGGAATTACATTTTTTTTTCAACTTGGAAGGACTGCATGAGCTCTTATTTATAAAATGTAATAATTTGAGGACTGAATGTGAAAGGAAGGATTTGTAATTCGATAGCGACGAAGTGAAATAACGAAACCGTTTGTAACTTCATGGAAAATTGAAGTTGAAGTGAATCGATTTGTCTTCGGAAATTATTTAATTCCTTCTTCGGATGTAATTTCTTATACAATATTAATCTTCCAAGATTTTTTCTCTTTTATACTTTAAACAAAGACAACTGTCAAATATATTCAGAGTAATTTATAATATTTTATTACAATTATACAATCGTTTTTTATTTCTACCGGAACATAAAATACTGTAAAATTCCGAGACAAAAGAGATTTTTTTTCCAAGTTACAGTCACAGGTAATTATCAGTTAAATAAAATCGTTACTTTCCTTTGCAAAAAGTCTAAATCTCATTGGCTGGTGTATTGTGGAGTTTTTTTTCAATGAGTTTTGAAAGAAAAGTCTGACGTATGTTTTGCAGCGAGTCTCATAAAAAATGTACACGTTTTTCTATGACCGATCGTGGCCTCTTGAAAGGGATTGTCTTTCAATTAGCAAAGTTTTATTTGTACAATCTCAAAGTGACATTCATTTACCTTCAATCACCTTCGAGTTATTTTCAACTCAATTTATCCATATTCTACGGCACAC